GCACGAGATATGGCCACCGGCCTAAGCCCAAGCCAACTGTAGCGAGCGTCCGTGACGCAGGCACCAGTGTGCTGTGTGCGCATGGATGGAAACACACAGTAGTCGGAGCATCACGCCACAGTGAGCGGTGACTGTGCGTGTAGTGAACTGGCCGCCCCTGCAATCTGCAAACGGGCGATGATTGCAGCAGCAGCAGCTCAGATCTACTGTACCTGTATGAGACGCGAGGTCTGAACAACTGGTGCGCCTTCAATGGCGCGGCCGAAACGCTCGGCTTCGTTATGGAGGCCCATCGCTGACGAGCAACGGCCGACTGGACTAGGCTTTGTTTTGAGGCCCATTTTGTGATGTTTTCTCGGTGTTACTGGGCTGGTAATGGTCGCCGGCCTCCACTGTAGAGGCCTTTCGGTACGTAATGGGCTTCGTGTGTTAGTGGCCCGTTTAATTCTTATATGGTTTTGGGGTTGGAAATAAGTTCACCTTTAGTTCCTCAATTTAATGCCGAGTAAAATTCGTAAACAAAAATAACAGGTATAGCATATTCTCCAACTCATAATAACCTGTCAATTTTTATCCCTCAGCAGTAAAGTGACCGGCACGGGCGGGCCCACTTCAATTCATGGGTATTCAAATGAATACCCAAGATTTTTGGAAAAAAAAATACATATATGAAGTATATATTCCATAGGCATATATAGGGAAAAAAATACCTATACCCATTCAAAACTAAAAAGAAGCCCAAATTGAACCTTCCCATCACCCACCATTTCAGGCCCATTGGCCCAATAACAAATAAAAGCCCACATTTCTAACCCTATCTCTTCTTCTCACCTCCTCTAATCCCCTTCCCATCCCAGAGGTTTTTACCTGTGTGCCATTAAAAAAGATGATCCCTTCCTCTGTGCCACTAAAAAGTTCGAGCCTCCCTTTATGCCATCGTCGAACTTTATTGCGCCCTCCACGCCATTCCGTCGCTATTCTGTGTGGATTCAACCGTTTGGCAGCTCTGACATGTGGGCCCGGGCACAAAAAATGTCGCTCTTGCCCTTCTAGTGTCTACTTCCTTGTAGAGAGAGGCCAGCCGGTGCGGCTAGGCCGGCGACCGGCGCAGCGCTTGGCGGCGTTTGGGACGAGTCGGGTGGTGGCAGCGGCGGTGGAGGAGGAGGAGAAGGAGGAAGAAGTAGGGGCGCGGCGGGAAAGCCGAGGGACGGGGTGGCGCTCGGCGGCGCGGCGGCGTGCGGGACGAGCTAGGTGGCGGCGGCGGCGGAGGAGGAGGAGGAGGAGGAGGAGGAGGAGGAAGAAGGGGCGTGGCGGGAAAGCCGAGGGGTGGGGTGGCGCTCGGCGGCGCGGTGGCCAGCTAAGGAGCCACGGCGTGCGGGACGAGCCAGGAGGAAGAAGGAGGGCCGCGGCGGCAAAGAAGAGGCGGAGGAGCATGGGGAGGTCGGCGGGTGGCGGGCCGGAGGCGGAGGAGAGGTCCCGCCAGGAGAGCTCGTCGAAGGCGAGGCCGGACAGACGTCGGAAGCCCTCCAGCTCGCCGCCATGGGGGCCGCCGAGGAGGCCGCGGCATCCGCGGCCGTCGCCGCCGCCATCCCGACTCTCTCTCTCTCTTTCTCTCTCTCTCTCCTCTATTCTCTCTTCTCTCTCAACCCTAAGGGCAATAACGTTATTTGGCTGCGCTGTTTGACACCGCTAGAGCCAAAAACGGACGGAATGGCGTGGAGGGTGCGATAAAGTTCGACGATGGTATAGAGGGAGGCTCGAACTTTAGTGGCACAGATGCAGTGATCATCTTTTTTTTAATGTCACACAGGTAGCCGCGAGCCGCCGCGCCAGCTCAGCCGCCTGCGCACCTCGCCGCCTCGCCGGTCGCGGCGTCGCCCTCGTCCACAGCCCCCTCGCGGCTTGCGCCGGCGCGCCTGCGGCCTGCGCGCGTCGCCCTGCGCGGCTGCTCCCCGCCCGGCCGCCCGTCGGCCGTCGGCCGTCGCCCGTGGCGGTGCGGCCCGCTGTCCACCGCGCGCACTCCCGCGTCGCGCCGTGCCGCCGCCCGCCGACGCCGCCTCGGCACCTCCTGCCCTCCTCCCGTCGTGTGTGACAATGGTCAGTTGCATGCCTGAACGAGGCTAGCAAACAGAGTTGCTGTATGTACTGAAGCAAAGCATTTCTTTCACCCTTTTTTGTTTGTGCTGAACAAGCATTTCTTGACACTACTATTGTGTATCTCCCTGAGAAGCTGTTGCCTTGAGTTGCAACATCTCAGTTCTGAAATTATCTGACAAGATCTGAACTACAGTAGTTCAGCATCACTAGTTATTGTTGTATTGTGTTTCTCCTTGACAAGCTGTTGCCATGATGGGATCAGGATGGAGTATCATCATCCTCTTGCAACATCTCAGTTCTGTAATCATCTGTGATCTGAAATACAGTAGTTTAGTATCAGTAGCTATTGCGTATCTCCCTGCCGTGCCAAGCTGTTGTCTTTGATATTGTTATTTGTAGGTTTGAAACATGAAGAGAAAAAAGGGATCATTGTTGCTTGGTTACATTCACTGAAAGAGATTTCTTCTTGCAAGTTAAGAATGAAGACATCATCAATCGTTTTCAAAATATCAAGAAACGGAAAGTTCTTCTCTAAATGGTAAGATTTCTTATCATTTTGCTATTTTGTATGCTCTATAAATATGATATGTTCAGTCAATTAATATTGTACTATAATATTCTTAACGCATTCAATTTATGGTCAATTCTATCTATTTATAACTTTATGAAATAAATCATATTTATACCGTTACATATTATACAACTATTAGACCTTAGGTTGGAAAAAAGAATTTGTCTCTCCTACAATTTCGAATACCCAAGTTAAAAACCCTGGACCCGCCCCTGGTGACCGGTTTTGGTTGACATGATAAGTGGGATGCACGTGAGCCCCACATGTTAGTGGTCGACTTTTCTCTCTCCTCTCCCTCTTCCCTCTCTTCCCCATCTCTCACATCCTCAAGCGTTTGAGCATGGTGGTCGACGAGGAGGGGCGCGACGGTCCGCATCGGCTAGAGGAGACCCGACAAGACGGGATCCGGCGATACCTAGGTCCAGCAGTGAATGGAGGCGGCGACGCGTCAACGATGATCGTGAGACCATCGAGCTTGAGCTTGACAGCACTGGCGCTTGTGGAAGGGAACGACAGGGCAAAGCGCGCGTGCCTCTATCTGCATTGCTGGAGTTGTTTTAGTCTCGATCTGCTCAACTAGGTTCGTCTCATGTTGGAGTGTATAAAGTGAATTGCCCATCTTTCCCTATCAGCTTAGGCTTTTAGGTGCAACTGGCTGGTGCATGCAACTTAATATGGTATCAAAGCCAGAGGTCTCGAGTTCGAATCCTGGCTGGCGCGCAATTAAATAAAATAATTGTAGCCCACTCCAATATTCCACGCTTGAGACTTGAGGGGGTCTCACGTGAGGGGGAGTGTTGGAGTGTATAAAGTGAATTGCCCATCTTTCCCTATCAGCTTAGGCTTTTAGGTGCAACTGGCTGGTGCATGCAACTTAATATCTCAGGCCCCAAAATTCTTGCTTGCATCACCTACGTCTAGTTCTATCGTGCCCATCGCTAGTCCTCGATCCTCTTTGTTGGCTATAGCAATGATTTATGTGATCTGTTGAAGCTAAGTGTAGCACGTTGTGACACTTTTTTCCATATTATCCTTTGATTTTTCAATCTCAACTATCGATGTGTTTATCTGAGTTTTGATGAGTGATTAGCAATTTGTCTGTGGCCGGGATACTGTCGGCGAGAATCCACTACCAAGCACCTCCGCTCGTTGTCCGCCATCGACGCCTTACTGGCCCTACAGCTAGCAGCAAGTTTGCGACGTCCCCCTTAGCTTCCTTCGCGCATAGCTCCACCACTAGGCCACCGCCACATAACTCAACTGAGAGGAGAGATTGAAGAGATGTTGCTGATGGACCGTCGCGGCCCCCTCCTCGTTGGCCACCCCGCTCGAACGCTTTAGAATCTGAGAGATGGGGACGAGAGGGAAGAGGGAGAGGGAGAAGAGTTGGCCTTTGAAATGTGGACCTCACATGGGCCTCACTCACCACATTAGACAAAACCAACCACTATACCACAAAGGGACCAATTTTAACATGATAATGTGAGTTGAGGATATGCTATACCTGATATTTCAGTTTAGAGATGAATTTTAGATTCGTGACAACAAACTAGGGACTTAAAGTGCAGTTATTCCTTTTCGGTTTTAGCCCACTAGCCAGCCAGTAGTAATGGACCAGGCCATAATAGAGGTCAACTCCTGCAAAGCCTCAAAGTGTGAATTTTCCTTTTCTTTTAGAGTTACCCTGGTCTTACAGTACATCACAGGTAAAGCCTGTCACTGGATGCATGTGGATGTGCATCGACAAAATATGCATTTTCCTTGTTGTATTCTGGCATGTGGATGTACTTTTTTTTTTTTTTGCTTCAATCTGTACACATTTTCATCACACAAATCTGCTGGAGCCTGGGGACATTGGGGAAAACCGCGGTCAGCCAAACCTGGGGTCAACAACCATCGTCATGCGGGAACTGGCCGACTGACCTGTAGATGAGCTACTTGTTTATATGCTACTTTACTACCAAATGTTAACTCGTGTTTTTTTGCCCATAATTGACCACAGAACTCTTGAATTTCTGAATGAACAGCACCTGTTCTGAAGAATCTGAAAATGGATGCCATTTGACTTTCTGCAAAAAAAGTCCCAAATCTGCACTGATCCAATTCCGTTTGCTTAGTTGCTCTAGTGCTGAGGATAGTAGTCAACGTACTGCAACTGCCTACGGCCTAATAACCAGCTCTGTTTGACGGTTTCCTGCCGCAGTTGCCGACTTTGCAGTGCCCCGTGCCAAAGCACCAACCGAAGATTTCGCTTTCAAGCTGGCTGCACGGCGAGCAAGTGTGCAACTCGATCCACTCCACCGTTTGTCTTAAAAAACGGCCCGATCTAGAAGAAAACCCGGCAAATCCAATCCGGGAAAACGCTATGCCGCGAGCTATGGATTCCGAGGCCTAAACCGCGGCAAAAACGTGCCCAAGCCCAACTCCCGCGCGGCGCCGAAGCAGAGGTGGCGATTCCCAACTCTTGCTGCGAAGTCAGCGCTCGCGATCGCCTACTCGGCTACTCGGCTACTCCTCCTCCTCCTCTCCCCATCTCGTGCCGTGCGTTGGTACGCTTCATGGGCGCAGATGCCTCCCTCGAGATCGCTCGCGTGCCTTCTGCTGCCGCCGCTGCTGCTGCTGCTCGAGTCCGTGCGGGACGCGGACGCGGGGCCCCTGGCCGTGGAGATCGTGCGGCCCAGCTTCACGGCGACTAGCTACGACTACGTCGACACCGGCGGCGCGTTCTTGGTGTCCAGGAACGGCTCGTTCAGGGCGGCGGTGTTCAACCCCGGGAAGCAGCAGGCCAGCTTCTACCTCGCCGTGCTGCACGCGCCGTCGGGGACGCCCGTCTGGTCGGCCAACCGCGACGCGCCGACGAGCTCGACCGGTAAGGTCCAGCTCTCTGTGGGAGGGATCACCGTGTCGGACGCCAATGGGACGGTGCTGTGGTCAACGCCGCCGCTGCGGTCCCCCGTCGCGGCGCTCCGCCTGCAGGACACCGGGGACCTGCAGCTGCTGGACGCCGGGAACGCCACGCTGTGGCGGTCGTTCGATAACGCCACCGACACGCTGCTGCCCGGGCAGCAGCTGCTCGCCGGAGCATACCTGTCGTCGGCGAAGGGCGCTACCGATTTCTCCCAGGGGGACTACCGGTTCGGCGTGATCACCGCCGACGTGCTGTTGACGTGGCAGGGGTCCACCTACTGGCGGCTGTCGAACGACGCCCGGGGGTTCAAGGATACCAACGCCGCCGTGGCGTCCATGTCGGTGAACGCGTCGGGGCTGTTCGCGGTCGCCGCCGACGGCGCTATGGTGTTCCGGGTGGGCCTCGCGCCGGCGGAGTTCCGCATGCTGAAGCTGGGGAGCGACGGCCGGCTGCGCATCATCAGCTACGCGCTCGTGAACTCCTCGGCGCCGGTCGGCGGCGACTTCATCGCCCCAGCCGGCGACTGCGACCTCCCGCTGCAGTGCCCGTCCCTCGGTTACTGTTCACCGGCGGGCAACGGCTCAACCTGCACGTGCCCGCCGCTCTTCGCCGCATCCGTGACAGTTGCCGGCTCGTGCACGCCGGGGGACGGCTCGACGCTCGCGTCGCCGGCCGCGTGTCAGAACAACGACAGTAGCAGCGGCGGCGCCTCCGTTTCATACATCGCCCTCAAGCCGCTGACCTCCTACTTCGCCACGAAGTTCGACGCCCCGACGAACACCGGCGTCAACAAGACGGCGTGTCGCGCGCTCTGCACCGCCAGCTGCGCTTGCCTCGGCTTCTTCCACGACAGCGTCTCCCTGAGCTGCCGCTTGATCGGAGGAAAGCAGCTCGGCTCGCTGTACAAGGGCGCATCAGATACAAACCTGGGATACATCAAGACGTTCAACTCCGCAACCAAGGCCGGGAGCAACCAAATCGGCTCGTCGTCGGCGAACCACACCGTGCCGATCGTCCTGCCGTCCGTCGCGGCGTTCCTTCTCCTCGCCGTGCTCGGATGGTATATATGGTGGAGGAACAAGATGAGCAAGAACGGCAGGAAAAAGAAGGGCAAGAGCTCCACCATGAAAGTGTACTTGGGCCGTCAGAAGTCGCCGTCCAGGGACACCGGCTATAACGCGGACGCTGACGACGACGGCGGCGGCGACGATGACGACATCGTCATACCGGGCATGCCGGCGAGGTTTAGCTACCAGGAGATTACAACGATGACCTCCAATTTCGCGACGAAGGTGGGATCCGGCGGGTTCGGCACCGTGTACAAAGGGGAGCTTCCAGGCGGCGAGGGGCTCATCGCCGTGAAAAAGCTCGAGGCCGCCGGCGTGCAGGCCAAGCGGGAGTTCTGCACGGAGATCACCATCATCGGCAACATCCGCCACGTCAACCTCGTCCGCCTCCGCGGCTTCTGCGCCGAGGGTTCCCGCCGGCTGCTCGTCTACGAGTACATGAACCGGGGCTCGCTCGACCGGTCACTGTTCGGCCGCACGGGGCCGGTGCTGGAGTGGGGGGAGCGCATGGAGGTGGCGATCGGCGCGGCGCGCGGGCTGGCGTACCTGCACACCGGGTGCGAGCAGAAGATCGTGCACTGCGACGTCAAGCCGGAGAACATCCTGCTCGCCAACGGCGGCCAGGTGAAGATCTCGGACTTCGGCCTCGCCAAGCTGATGTCGCGGGAGCAGTCGGCGCTGTTCACCACCATGCGCGGCACGCGCGGGTACCTCGCGCCCGAGTGGATCAGCAACGCGGCCATCTCCGACCGCGCCGACGTCTACAGCTTCGGCATGGTGCTGCTCGAGCTGATACACGGGAGGAAGAACCGCGGCGAGCAGGAGGCGGCGGCGCCGGCCAACAACGTCGCCGTCGCTGCCGGCAGCGGCGAGCACTCGGACTTGCCGTCCGGATGGAGCAGCGCGATGACGTCGACGGCGAGTGGCACGAGCGGCGGCGGCGACGAGTACTTCCCGATGCTGGCACTGGAGCTCCATGAGCAGCGGAGATACCTGGACCTCGTCGACGCGAGGCTGGAGGGGCGCGTCGACGAGGCCGAAGCGGCACGCACCGTCCGCGTCGCGCTCTGCTGCCTTCACGAGGACCCTGCGCTGCGGCCGAGCATGGCCACCGTGGTGCGGATCCTGGAAGGCAGCGTGCCGCCGCCGGAGCCGCGGGTCGAGGCGCTCGGCTTCCTCCGGCTCTACGGCAGGAGCTATCCCTTGCCGGTGCCGGGTTCGTTGACCGCCATGGCCGGTGGTGGCTCGCATTTGGACGAGTCACTGAAGGACACGTCAGCACCAAGATAGCACTATGAAGACCGAGCTGCATATCATCCGGCACATATGACGTGGCACTGTACAATTGTCCGCAGTGCCGACGTGGCAGTACACCTGTCCATTATAGAATCCATGGAACCGATTAACCTGACGTAATACTCCCTGGACGATAATCTGCAATGCTGCATACTTTCGTCGGTTCCTCCCGTGGTTATATGCTTGGCAGTATCTGCAGTTCTTCATCTGATAAAGAAGAAGAGAAAACTGATCCATGAGGTGTGGACAGGTTGAAAAACACAAAAGAATGGCTGCCATAGATTAAAAGAACTATGCCAACTTGTCCATGTACTAGAGCATTAGACAAAGTTAGCTTTGAAGCTGGTGACATGGACAGATGATAAAATGATTGCTGATTAATTAGTACTCCCTCCGTTTCACAATATAAGTCATTCTAGCATTTTCCATATTTATATTGATGTTGATGATTCATCAACATCAATATAAATATGGAAAATACTAGAATGACCTTATATTGTGAAACGAAGGAAGTATATATGATCTGCCCGGTACATTTGTTTGGGAAGTAGAGAAGGCTGTAAACTGTACTTAAAACCAGGAAAAGAAAACAGAGATAAATAAACGGCATACACTTGTAATCTTTCTTTACATACCAAAACTAAGGCTGCGCGTTCGAGTGCAGGAGAAAGAGAGAAAGATAGTTTTGTGTTCCACGCGTACGTTTCTCGAACTACTAAACGGTGTGTTTTTTTGCAAAAAAATTCTATAGGAAAGTTGCTTTAAAAAATCATATTAATCTATTTTTGAAGTTTAAAATAATTAATACTCAATTAATCATGTGCTAATGGCTCACCTCGTTTTGCGTATCTTCCTAATCTCCTCAATCCTATCCTTCTCAAACACACACTAAGTATTGCATTCTTTTTTAGATGTTTGTTTCCCTGTACTTAAAGACACCCGTTAAACGAGGAGAAGCCAGTGGCTTAGCGGCGAGAACGAGTTTTTTTTTCCTCATCCACTAGGTTCAACACAATTATTTACAGAATGGGTTAAACATTGAGCTTCTTTGACGTGTACAGTAGGGCTTTAATTATACACATCAGTGGGACAAGCATGAACCGTGTGTCCTTATTATACATTATCTATGTTTTCGGGAATGCTACATATCGGAATCCCGTCCGAACGGGACACTTGCTTATTTAAAGAGGAGCGATACCTGACCATGCATGTCCCGAGTAGCAGTAGCAGCCTGTACAGGACACGGTGCCGCTCCAGCACGCACGCATGGCTGACATAGGCGGCGGCGCTACGGCGCCCATGCCCGCACCGTCAACGCACTACCCCGCGCGCGACCGCGAGCTCCTTGCCGGCAGCACTGGCGCCGTCGCAGGGGAGGAGGAGCCCAGCGCGGACGCAACGGTAGATGTGGAAGTAGAGCGCGAAGGTGCTGCCCTCGCCGCGTCGTTGGCGTGGAGCACGACGAGCACGTACTTGGCTAGCTTGTCGAGGCGGCGGAGGAAGCGGCCGCCCGCGACAAGCTCCGACGTGGCGTGGACGGTGGAGGATGTGACTGTCGGTGACGAGTTCCGGCCTGGGACGTGGATGACGAAGGACACGCCCGTCGACGACTGTCACGCCCAGAAATTCACGAACCAGAATTTCTAAGCTGAATGTGCATTAAATCCCTGTCCAGGACCAGCCCGGGTACACAAACGACAATTGTTGACATACAGATCCACGTCTTACAAAAATAGAAAAGATTACAAATGCAGCGGAAAAGATAAAAGCGAGCTAAACCGGGAAGCTTGACTTCAGCAGCGGGGCGACTCCACTCCACAGGCAATCCTTGACGGCAGCGACAAAACCAACTTCAACAAGATAGCTCCAACTAGAAAAATCTTTAGCTCTGGTGTGGGGGAAAAGAGAGCAAGACTGAGTACTACCCACTGTACTCAGCAAGTCATACCGGAAGAGGAGGTATGATGCAGGATATAACCAAAGGAGGCTAGGGGTTCTTTTGGACAAAGCTAGCATTTAAAAGCAGTAGTTGAAAGTAGTAAAACAATTGTAGTAAATTAATCAATATTAACCAATCACTGTTCAACGCTACACCACGTTGCAACAGGCCCAACCAACCACCTGAACTACACCAGTTCATTAAGCTAAACTAGGGGTGAGACTAATCACGGTGAATTTGGTTGATCGCCCATAACCGCGGGCACGGCTATTCGAATAGTTTTACTCTGGCCAGAGGTTTACAACTGTACCCACAAGACACGATTCCACACATGTCGCCATGCCCCGAAGTATCACCATGATACTGCAAAGGGGGAAATCGTGACAAGATCCTCCACATAACCCTCCCCTAACCATCCACACCACGCTAAGGTTTCACCCCCACCCCTCAAAAGGCAGTGGGCGGTCCCCTCTTGCGCCGCGGTGAATCCGGCAGCTGGATAACCGGACACCCCGGCCGACCCAACTCCATCACGCCCACCCTCGCCACCGGTGCCTAGGAAAGGGTCGAGCTATACTTCAGATCAAGCAGTTACCCACTCCCGCTTGTGGTAAGCACGGTAAGTCTCCCAGGGTTTCCCGTGAACCAGTCCTTAACTGCCATGGGTGCGACCAGCAAAACCATGCACCACAGCCCACCATTCAGTGTATTTTAATTAACTAACACCATTGCGGTGGCACCAAATCCAAAGCTATGCTAGTAGACAAAGTCTATGTAATAATGTGATCCCTTTTTGTGTACTAGTTGAGCTAAACATGGCTAAGCATTTCCTAAACCAACATCTAATCATTTTGATACCCAGGTTATCAATGGCATATGGTAAACAATAAATGGCTGAGTAATAGGACCCATCCCACATGACATTGTAAAAGAATGTAACATTTAATAGAAATACGGGACATTTGTAAATTGGGTACAATATGATCAATTGTAATGCATGACTTGCCTTGCTCTCGCACTGATGAGACCACAGCAACGTCTTCGAGAAATCGTGGATCGACGAAACGGCCGAAATCTACGTGACAAACAAAGCACACAAGCAAAACATGCTATAAGACTACTGAAACAGGAAACAAATCCATTTTTAGTGGATTCTAGGGATTTTTATGAATTTACTGAGACTTGAATGGACTTAAACGGAGCTCGGATGAATTACTTATGAATTTTAGAAGATAAACTGTGTTTTTACTAATAAAGAAAAGTCCTTAATCAATTTATTGCGCAATAATACCCAGGGCTGACGTCATCCAGGGGGGCCCGGCTGCGCCGACAGGTGGGCCCCGCTTGTCCGCGCACAAGGGGAGGGAGAGGGGGCTCGAGCAAGTGGGCCCCACTAGCAGCGGCACAAGGTGGTCGGTCTACCGTGGACCGGGACCACGCGGGTGGTCCACTGCCGGTCCACGGGACCGACGGTCCGGATCGGCCTCAAAAGCGATCGGACGGCGCGGGGGCGCGGGGGGGGGGGGGGGGGGGGCTAGGCATGGCTCGGCTCGGCTTCAAAACCGACCGGCGGCCATGGCGGCCGGCGGCGGCACGCGCGGTCACCGGCGGTGACCGGCGGCGCGGGAGACGGCAGCGGCCAGCGCGAAGGCGGCGGCGGCGGCGGCGGCCGAAGACGACGGCGCACGCGCGGAGGGCGCCGGCGCTCATGGGAGAGAGGGAAGGAAGGAGGAGAGGGGATTCCTCACCGGCGAGCACGGCGACCGGCGCGAAGGAAGAAAACGGCGGCGACGACCGGCGATGCCGAGGCGCGGACGGGCGGTGGCGGCACCCTAAGAGAGAGCAGAGAGGGGTTAGGGGAAGGGAAGGCGACCACGGCGGCTTGAATTGCCGGCCGGAGATGGAGGGGAGAGAAGGTCTCACCGGCGCGCGAGGAGAAAAGGGCTCCGGCGTTGTTCGGCGGCAACCAAGCGGCGGCCGAGGTGCGGGCGGGCTCGGTGAGCGCGACGGCGGCGACTGCGCGGCGCGGCGGTGGCTATAGTGGCGGCGGCGCGTGGCCGGAGACGGCGGTAGGCAGCGGCGCAAGGGGCGAGCGGCGCGGTGACGATAGGAAGCACGGGAGGGCGCGGCGAGTGCGAAAAACGAGAGAGGGAGATGCGGGGAGCGATTTATAGGTGGGGCGGACGTGGCCGGGGAGGTGGCCGTTTTGGCCGGCGACGTGGGGTGGAGAGAGAGAGAATGGGGGGGATTCAAATTCGAATCCTGCCCCTTGCGAGCGCTCCCGCGGGCCAGGAGATGCGGGGGAGAGGGCGGCGACGTGGGGAGGACGCGGGAGCGACGCGGCGTGGGCGCGGGAGGAGCGGAGGAGGCGGCGGCGCGGCGGTTTTGGCGGCAGCGGTTGGAGCTCCGGCTCCAACGGCCGGAGGTGGGAGACGACCGACAGGTGGGGCCCACCTGTCGGTGTCCCGAGAGAGGAGGGAGGGGCGGCTTGGGCCGGCCCACAAGGAGGAGGGGCCGCGGGAGAGGGATGGGCCGACGGCCCAACAAAGAAAAAGGAGGGAAAAGAAAAGAAAAAGAGAAAAAGGATTTTCCTGGGATTAAAAATATTGCACTTGCTCAATTTTAATTGGTTAAAATTATTTCCAAGGCTGTGAAAATTCCACTAAAAATCATGTTAATGTATTGGAGCATGGGGAACTCAAGAAAAATTCCACCACGCCGAATTCGATTATTAAATGCATTTATTAATTAGGAATTTAGCTCTAGGTTACTTAAGATAATTTCTTCTGGCAATTTATTTAACCAATTTTTAAAGAAAAAAAAGGGGGGGGGAAACTTCAGGGTGTGACAACGACGAGCTCCGTCGTGGGATGTGGATGACGAAGGACGCGGCCACCGGTGACGAGCTCCGTGGCGTCGACGGTGGAGGATGCGGCCGTCGGCGACGAGCTCCGGCGTGGGGCGTGGATGACGGAGGACGCGGCCGCCGGCGACGAGCTTCGACGTGGCGCGGACGGTGGAGGATGTGGCCGCCGGCGATAAGCTCCGGCGTGGGACGTGGACGGTGGGATCACCGGCGACGACGCTTTAGTGCCTGGCTCCTGATATCTGGTATGTATCGTCTGATACCTCATAAGTATCATCTTCTACGTGATAAGAATCACATGATATCTGATAGGTATCATTTGATACCTAACAAGTATCACCTGATACGTGGTAGAATCGCATGATACCTGATAGGTCTCACCTGATACCGGGTAGGTATCGGGACCTGATACCTCGTAAGTATCACCCTCTACGTGGTAAAAATCGCATGATACCTGATAGGTACCATCTGATACCTCACAAGTATCATCTGATACGTGGTAGAATCGCATGATACCTGATAGGTATCACCTGATACCAGCTAGGTATCAGGACCTGATACATCGCAAGCATCACCCACCACATGATAAGAATCGCATGATACCTGATAGGTATCACCCGATACCGGCTAGGTATCAGGACCTGATACATCGCAAGCATCACCCACCACGTGGTAAGAATCGCATGATACCTCATAGGTATCATCTGATACCTTGCAAGTATCACCTGATACGTGGTAGAATCGCATGATACCTGATAGGTATCAGGACCTGATACAGCGCAAGCATCACCCACCGCGTGGTAAGAATCGCATGATACCCGATAGGTATCATCTGATACATCACAAGTATCACCTGATACGTGGTAGAATCGTATGATACCTGATAGGTATCACCCGATACTGGCTAGGTATTAGGACCTGATACATCGCAAGCATCACCCACCACGTGGTAAGAATTGCATGATGCCTGATAGGTATCATATGATACCTCGTAAGTATCACTTGATACGTGGCAGAAACGCATGATGCCTGTTAGATATCAGGACTTGATAACCACCAGGTATCGTTTATCTAGACCGATCCCACTATGTATCAAATATGATACTTGGCCATCCAGTTATCTAGTACTTGATACCAACCGATATCACACACGATGCCTGTTATGAGGCATGGCACCCACTCGGTATCAGACATGTGTGATGCCTGTTATGAGGCATGGCACCCACTCGGTATCAGACGTAATACCTAATAATAGACTTGATGCTCACCCGGTATCAGATGTGATACCTACCTAGTATCAGATTTGACACCTGGTAGCTAGGTAGGCTACTACTTGCTATACTGAACTAGTTTAGCTATCACATGAAGATTTTTTGCGTATGCACGTGGACAAAATGACAAACGATGGGGTGACATGACACACCTTTTGAGACACGATGACAGACATACTAATTGAATGGAAGGAATCGTCCGGCTAAATTGCTTGCGGGCCTATACCGTCCGAACGGTATACCAGTATATAGCAGCCCCCCAATGTTTTCTAAGGAAAATCCACCTGTACGTTGAATCTTGCAAGTATTATTTTGTGCTGTGGTGGAGACGTATGCGTATATTTGATTTATTTTCATGTCTATAGAAGTAAAAAATGGTACGAATAATTATTAATTTTTAAAGAAAAATAATGCTCTAGCTCACAGGAATACAAAGAGAGTTCGGTGGGTGAACGAAAAGAAGAGTACAAGAGTACGTACTACTTACCAGTGTTGATATAGGAAATGCACAAATTAATTTATCCGGCTTTTAGCATTGGGAATAGTTAGGCCCTATCTTTTAGCCAAATGCTAATAATACGCCGTACTTTGCATATTAGTAAAAAAAAACTAAGTAAAACTTTTATATACGTACTCTTAGTGATTTAAGTGTTAAAATGAAAATGAAACTTTGATAAAAATATTGCAAAATAAGCCTTAAAAGTAAGTTTCCAAATTTAAATTTTGTCAATGGTCGATTCTATACGGAGGAAACGATGGGCCTTTTGCTTTGCTAAATCTGTGATTATCAGGTAGCCCGTTGCCACAAACTAACGGTACATCTCATCCTAAATTTTGCTTTATCAGTCAGAAACAGTTGATATTTGCTAACAACATCTGCGGCTCTGCGCTGATTGTCAAAATCAAGCTAGCGATGACACCACATGACCACAGAGTCAACAAACAGCCAAACAGTTCTACAAGAGGCTAGGGGCCGGATGCTGGCAATATATACTCCCTCTGTCAAAAAAAAAAATCTAGAACTAGACATGACACATTTTAATACTAGGATTCTAGATAAAGGTGTGTCCAGATTTGTCCTATTAGAATGTGTCACATCTAATATTAGATTGGTTTTTTTATGGGTCGGAGGGAGTGCAGAGTATTGGACGTGCTCGGACTCCAAAACATATGCTGTTTGGAAATTTTTTAAATTTTTTAAGTGTCCTTAGTGCTTTAAAAGCTAATGTCGAAAAAGAAAACCACATTAAAAAAACCTAAAATTTTCTCTAAAAATTAAGTTTCAAAATTTAAATTTTGGCCATGGCCAATAATATTATTTTGTTTCACAATATACTTATGGACTAGGAAAAACAATAAAATAACGTTACAGTGAATATATCTGCAGAGGCAAATTCAAAGTCATTATTTTCATTTGAAATGTTGACTGCACAGATGCCACTACATCTTAAAATATGTGCTTCTTTCCTTGAAATGGATTCCAACTCTTTATTCGACTTCTTTCTACGAGTCATTCTGTTTGTTCACTTCCACTTGCACTATAAAAAGATAATTTTGCCAACAATTGGGATGGGAAATTATAATTTTTTTTAAGAATCAGCTGAAAGTCTTATTGCTGCCCAATCTGAAAGTTTCGAAGCTCAAACTTGCGAAAAGAAACTGAAACATGATCTGGCTGAAAGAGTTGTACCACAAAACTTGAAAGAGTTGTACCACAAAATTGAACGATAACATGTGTGGGCTATTGTACACCATTGTGACAAGCTTGGCCGATGCCTTGTGTCGGGCTCCGTCGTGGTAGTTTAGGTTAGGTTAGTTGTTAGCATGGTGTTGTAGCTGTGGTTTTCGTTCAGTTTTCCCTAATTAACTGGACCCTGTAAGGTTTGGTCTCGTTTGCTTCTTAAAATGGGACACCTTCTTCTTAATATAAAACGTCGGCAACGGCCTTACCATTCGAAAAAAAGACCTGGCTGAAAGAGTTGTACCACAAAACTGGTGAAGAAAGATGCACTCAGAAATATGCCTTGGCATTTTCCTTACTCAATTAAATCATTTAAATATGCCCCGATTAATTTATCCACAAGTATGAATTTGTGTGCGTTTCAACAGGCATTGAAAGGGCGCAGATAACTTGTGCCAAAAAAATATCCTTTGTCTTTTTGAAGGGGGATGAGATCATGACATGTCTTTCCCACCAGCGGCGGAGTCAGGTATTATCAAAGAGTAGAGTTAAGGTAGGACTTAATTAACTAGTGAGTTATTCATTTTTTTTATCACATTCTCATGGTGATTTAAGAGAATTTAACCATAATTTTGGAGGCAAATATAGGGCTTGAGCCCTAGCTACCCTAAGCCTGGCAACGCCCCCGTTTCTCACCCAAAAAAAGCCATCGGTGACTGTACTTACACAATGACTTTAAAGCAGGATTACTCACACTGTTTTGATGATTTGGACACTATTATGTAACCCTAATGTTATGTACGTGGTTTAAATGGGGATGGATATCATGAATACAGAGGAAGATACAAAGATATAAGGGTGTGGTATGCTTTCTCATTCATTCTATTCTTCACAAGTGTACAACCCCATCACCTCCTACCCTCTATTTATCTCATTCACCTCCCATACTTAGCGATGAATCAATTTATTAAGTAACCGGGCTGGGTCTTCGTGGGTCACCGGTTTCCTACCAGAAACCATTTAGTCTGGCCCTCCTTTCACAAGATTATGTTTCACCCTTCATTGTCAGTTTTATTGACGGACTACAATTCGTTTTCACGCATAGAAGTCCCTTTCTCCATCAATTGAAATGGAAAGTTCAAATTCTTTCTATGAAATATAGCTGAGATATGGAGTATATAGCATTGTAAACCAAGTTTAGCAAGTCCTTTTAGGTTGCATTTTTGTAATTTTAGCAAATAAAAAAACAGAGAGAAAAAGTCAATTCAATCCAAATTTGAACTATTCTGAGTATGATTTATTATTTTTGACTTTTCACCAAGTACTAATTAATAACGTCTACATTATGGTGGTGCACTATTTGCATGGGACAATGAAAAAAAAACAATATCACCCAAAGGTTACAATTTGTATGGAGAGAAAACAATATCACCCAGCTACTAATCCGTATTTTGATAATGAAATATGGATACAAAATGTTACAATAAGATCAAGCAGAGGCTTTCAGCTCTGCCAGTTCTCCGATTGGGATAGCAGCAGGAGCAGGAGCACCACCAGTTGTTGGCCTGTAAAATTATACAATCTCTTAGAAATCCTACAAAGAAATGTTCCCCGTAAGAGAAAATACCGTGCAGAAGTTCAGATAGACTTACAGGCCAACCATAACTTTGAAAGAATCATAGATCACCCACTGAGTTCCAGTCAGTGTACCGATCATGAGGATGCGAAGAGGAAGGCCGCGGGTGAAAAGGCCCCAGAGGCCAAGGTTCTTGACAGCCTGAAAAGAAATAAGAATTCAGCAAACGAACACAAAACAATCACACATTGGCAAAACGCATCAAGTCAAGTATAGCTCCCGGCTGTGCCGTTCTACAGGGTGCAGACTTACATCTCCAACGGTGGCGCCCTTGGAGTTGTTGAGAAACGAGACCAAGTTGTCAGCAGGGTGCGAGACGGCGGCGCAGAAGACTCCAGCAATGTAGCCACTCCCGAAGCTGACTCCAAGCTGCAGAGGCTTGCTGCATTGCTCCTTCGGTGTGGGGATGAGATGCTTGTATGCCATCTCCACGATGTTCTCGTACGTCGCAAATTTCATCATAGTATCTGCAACAAGGAAATGCCACTCACAGTTCAGATGTTCATGAACGCAAGAGAGCTGATCGTGATCGTGACAAAGCCTGAATGTTACAGTAAAGCAGAGTAGGAGTACTCACAAGGAATCTGACGCCCCCAAAGCGGAACCAAGCCTCTGAACAGACTGCAATTAACAATCAGCTACAGGTTTAATTAACATTCTACTAGATCAGTCAGAACAGGATAACAAAGAACTCATCATAAAAAAATATACATACCCTGCATAGCTTTCGTTCCTGACGATCTTTGGGAAGCCGTCGCTGAGCCCCCTGGCGTAGCCGGGCTGCGTCTGCACGCGGACCTTGACGGCCTCCATGGGGCAGAGCGCGACGTCGGCGGCCACCTCGGCGGTGGCCGAGCCGGCGAGGTAGATGAGGGTCTTGTACCTGGCGGCGTACTCCGGCCCGGCCATGTCGGCGTACTCCTTCTTGAACACCTCGTACAGGCCGTACTTGAACGCCCCCTGCGCGCTGTAGCCGAGGAACGTCGGCGCCCACCCCCTGTAGAAGCCGCGCGCGCCCTGCTCCCGCATCACGACGCCGAACGCCGACGTCGTGCTCTTGTACTTGGTCGGGTCGATCTGCGAGACGAGCATTCGTCGTGTCAGACTCAGAGATGAGAAAAAACGGGAAATCAGCATTTTCGTTGGTGATTGAAATGGAGTAAGATGGAATTTTAAGATTGATGGGCCGAGAGGTACAAGAGCCCATCAGGCCTACTAGTCCTGTTTGACGAAAAGTTCCCCGGAAAGAAAAATGTTTCCAGCCACCGTCAGTACGTCACGGGTGACGAGCTCCCGGTTCATCATGTTTGTGAGTCTGTCACGCTCCTACTTTCTCGGCAGCTGACTTGGACCCGAAACTCCCGGTCAATTAACACGAGGAAAAGTCTTCCAACAAAATCTTCGAGCCATCGACAACGTAGAACATAGTAGTAGGTTGCTATGAACTTGTTTAATTTACTACCATATTACCATATCATAGGCAACTTTTAATAGTGTCGAATTTTTAGACAGCTTATGAGTGTTATTGGCATATTTTGATACTGAACCAAACATTAGACAACAAACTATTAGAGTGACAATAATTTGATAAAGCATATTTTGGTATCAAATCAAAATGACCTAAATATTCTGGGACGGATATAGTAGCTAAATTCACGAGGTGCTCCGTTTCGTAAAATTTTGCAGAAACTTTACCAATATCCGGGCACGTCAAATTAAGAAGCGCAAATCTATCCGATTTTTTTTTAACTGATAGCTCATGTGTACCTGTATGTTGCATTTGATGACGTCGAGCGGGGTCACGGCGGCGTGGGTGAGCCCGCACGCGGCGGCCCCGCCGAAGGCGCAGGCGGAGTAGTATGCCGGCGAGAACAGCTCGATCATCCCGAACGGCGGCTCGCTCGGCGCCCCCGCGACGACCGCCGGCGCGCCCCCGCCGCCGCCGCCGACCCCGTCGTAGAGGAAGCTCGGGAGCAGCGAGTTGCGCGGCGCCATCTCTGTCGCCACGACGCTGGCCCCTGTGGTTTCGTGGTGGTTGGATGACTTTGATCGCCGCGTCGTCTCGGGCCGGGCGGCTTTGTGTTGTGGACACCTTGTGGTGTTCGTTCGTTCCCCTCGTTGTTTGGAGCTTCGCTGCCCGCGCGCGGCCGTTTTTATACGGGAGAAACTGGAGGAAAAGCGATTGTTTGGTTGGCTCGTCGGCTGCGGGCTCGCGCGCGCGCGCGGGTGCAGTGTGCCTTCGCGCTTGGCGGGGTTTGACCGCGTGGTGTCTTTGGGAGCAAGGTGATCGAAGGGAGCTGGTCGTCACGTGCCAGCCTGCCTGCAGTCAGGTGATGTCAAGTCCTCTGGTTTGGGATTTGGGATTACCTTCCTGAGATTGGTGTTAATTTTGACCCTGTGGTTTATTAGGAGACCGTGATCTGTTCTCGTAGTGAATTTCTCCTCAACTTGCGAGTTGCGACCTGCGAGGGAGATGTTCTGGTCTGGATACGTCGACTCGCTGTTTTGGACTTCGGAGATGCATTGCATGATGGCGGTCTCCATGTAGGGGTGGGCTAAAAAAAGACCGAACCGAACTAACCGAGACCGATAACTTTAGTCATAACGTTGATCTCCATAGTGTACTAATCAATTGGGTCATGGGTTTCACTTAACCGAAATACACTTCAAGAATTAACCCGAATACACTCCAAGCCCAACGAAGAAATTCTAATTTCCTATCCCTCCCAAGTCCCAATGAACCCCACGGCGCCTCAATGCCACCGCGCCATGCTCGCGCCTCTTCCTCACAGGCCCGCGCCTCCTACTCCTCCTCCAGTCCTCCACTATGGCCTCCCCTCCCCTCATGGTTGTGTTGGCTGGTTATCTGATGAAATTATTGTGAATACCATACACTGAGATTTTACACACCGACTCTGTTTAGGGAACTTATATCTCTTGATTTTTTTTTAACTGTCTAATGTCTACTGTTCAAACACCTTGGAAAAAAAATCAGTCAAATTTAAACGAAGAAGATTTTAATTCGTGCACCCCCTAAATCTACGTCCCTTCTCTTCTTTCTCACCGTTACACTTCACCGTTGTCCGTGCTTGTTGCCCACTGATGATCCGACACCTCCACGACCTTCCCTTTCAAAGCCGCCTCATGTCTCTAAGTTAACCAAAAGACTATAAGGAGAACACAATGAGGCCGACCGAGAAATAGGGGAATACTTCAACCGACACAAGCAGACCTTGCTCCTTGCCTGAGCATATCATACGGACTCCTCACTTCTTCTTCTTCTTTTTTCTTTTTTTTTTTTTTTGCGTGGAAGGTATGTTAAGTTAAACGTGATTTGTTTGTATGGACCTAATTTATCTATCTTCTCTTCCTTCCTTTTTTGCGTGGAAGGCATGTTAACTTAACGTGATTTTCCTGTATGGACCTTAATTATGTTCTCTCTTAATTTATCGGCAATTCGGCAGAGCTATGAGGCCGTCATTCCCTGTATCTTCCTATTTTGAAGGCCGCCCGCTCGCGCACAATGCATGGCGTCTATTCCAAAATCCCTTTCCCTCCACGACACCGCTTCCAGCCCACGCAACCCTCGAACAATGGCGAGGGCTCGCCGGGGACGACAAAACGCCGCCGCATCGCCGCCGTCGCTGGCCCTGCAGCTGCAGGTGGCCAGCCTCGTCATCGTCTTCGTCTTCGCCTTCTCCTCCGCCATCACGCCTACACGAGCTGATCATGTAGAAGGACGTAAGTGCACTTCTCAGCTGCTTCGATTTCAATCCCCTTCACCACGCACGCAGGTAGGAGTACATAGCAATCGCCGATCGAGCATGTCGTGGCGTCTGGCGTTTGGACGACGATATGCTGAAATCCTAGCTCCGTTTTTTTTAAAAATTTTTATCCGTGTGCAGACATGTCGCACGAGATGTTTGGCTACGAAAACGACGCGACGGGGCCGGCGAAGTGGGGCTCGCTGCACAAGGAGTGGGCCGTCTGCGGCGACGGCAAGAAGCAGTCGCCGATCGACATCACCACGGTGGAGCCGCAGAAAGTGAAGGAGCCGCTGATGCAAGCCTACAAGGCCGGCGCCACCACCATTCAGAACCGAGGCCACGACTACATGGTTAGACACAGCGAAAGCTTGCATATTACTACTCCGTCCCAAAATAAGTTCAGCTGTGGAAATCCGTGTCCAACGTTTGATTGTCCGTCTTATTTGAAAAATTTATAAGAAAATTAAAATAAGTTAGTCACAAATAAAGTACTATTTATATTTTATCATCTAATAACAATAAAAATATTAATCGTAAAAAAAATTCAAATAAGACGAACGGTCAAAAGTGAGACATAAACAGTGCAAAACTGCACTTATTTTGGGACAGAAGGAATACTGTATTATTATTTTTAGGGAAACGGTATAGGTACGGTCAGAAATTTTTCATATTTGTGAAATTAACTACTAGCTAGTACTCCCTCCGTCCCATAATAGATGACGTTTTTGACTTTTTATTTGCAACGTTTGACCATTCGTTTTTTTGAAAAATTAGTGCAAATATAAAAAAGGATAAGTCATATGTAAAGTATTTTTGATAATAAAGAAAATGACAAATAAAATAAATAATAATTTTAAATTTTTTTGAATAAGACGAATGATCAAACATTGACAACAAAAACTCAAAAAGACAAGTAATATGGGACGGAGGTAGTACTATTTAGCAGCAATTCTAATACGATGCATACAGTAAAAGATAATCGGAAACGATATTATTTTTATGGAAACGGTATTGGGTAAACCTGCAAATATGCAATGCTGATTGCAAAACCTGCGTGATCTTGTGTCTTCATGTATCCAACGTTTTGGATTTTTGGTCTCAGCTGAAATGGAAAGATGGGAATAGCAAGCTGACGGTCCAAGGGAAGGAGTACACGCTCAAGCAGGTGCACTGGCATGAACCCTCCGAGCACACAATCAACGGAACCAGGTGCGGATGCATGATCCTGGCAAAAACTAGCTGCGCACTTTGTTATCAAAATAAAAGGAATTGTGAATCAATTGAGCTGTAGCTAGCTGGATTAATTAGCGGTGGTGTTGTATCCAACAAATGTCAGAGTGTGGTCGGTTCGAACAATTAATGGGATTCATGCAGGTTCGACGCAGAGATGCACATGGTTCACGAGGACCCCAGCATGGCGAGAGCCGTCGTCTCTGTGCTGTTGAGCACCAAAGCAGGCCAACCCAACGCAGTGCTCACCGAGGTAGTAACAACGACGTGCCTCACCGTTCACCTGAAATGGTTCGTTTCCATTTCATCTCCCACGGAGAGGCCAAGAAATGGAAATGAACACATCTAGATGAATTGTGAATACTAACTAGAAAGTACTTGATGTCAAATAGTGATCTTTAGTACTGGTAAGTGGTACTGTATAACCCAATATGGTACATGGAAGATTGGAAGTGCTAGCTAGCACGGTAGCACCCATGTCCCCACAAATGCAAAATACGTTCCCACGAAGTAATACGAGAATATATTTTAAACTCTCGAATGGATGTTAACCGTTATTTCATGTAGTTCAAATAATTAAAAAAAATTACAAGATTGATTAATATATAATATATCGCTACATAAATATGTATGTTCTTTACAAGTTTTTTATAAAAACACACACATTGAACTCTAGCTACTTTACATATGTTAACAGCCATTTTTTATTGTAACTTATAGAAATTAAATTTAAAGTAACATGTTTGTGAACCGATATATCGCATATTAATTTATCCTTTTTTAATATATATATATATATATATATATATATATATATATATATATATATATATATATATATATATATGACGGAACGTGGGGCTCCTCACCGGGAGACCGCGCAGGCCCCCCTTTGCCGGTTCGGCCGGGGGCGCTAAGTGAGGTTCTTCACCCTCGATCTGTGGGATGTCAGCGAGAAAGGAAGCGCACGAGACACGGGCGATGTAGACAGGTTCGGGCCGCTGAGAAGCGTAATACCCTACTCCTATGTTCTGGTGGATCTGTGTGTGAAGGAGTTACAGAGAGCCGGAGAGCAAGAGAGTTCAGGCTCTAGAACCCCTCTTCCTCTTTCTCTCCTCTACCAGCTCAGGTATTCTCAGAGTCGTCTGAGAGTCCTCCTTTTTTCTCCCTTCCTTCGGTGGGCAAGGTCCTCCTTTTATATCTCAAGGGGATACCACATGCACCACTTCTACCTACTCTTCTTTTGGGTGGGGACCCACCCTATCTTGACCAAAACTTGGCTCGCGCCTTCGCCTGGAAGCTAAATCACAGCTTGTCCTTGAGTGAGGCCCAGCGCCGTCACTCGCCTGACACAGGGGATAACCCTGTCATTCCTTCATTAATGGGTGGAGATTTGCAATGGCCACTGTCCGAATGACCCTCCGATGGGATGGGTCATACCTACCTCCACTCCGCCGGAAGCAGATGCAACGTGGGAGCACGGTTGTCTGCCGATGACGTGACCGGCGTCAGACCAGTCACAGACCGGTCATTCTTGTCCACCGCGCGTCAGTTTAGCATGCCGCACGTCTGCCCTTCTTCATACAATGACTCCCTTACCATGATTGCGATGAAGCCTGGAATGAATCTGGCCGGGACTGACATACCAATTCCAGGAGTTAGTACGCCGGCTCCGGCTAGGGACGAGTGCCTGGAGGCTCTCATCATTCTGACGGGACGGGGCGAGGCGTGTGACAGGCCGCCTGTTGCCACCTAACCCGCGATCTGACCGTTCTGTGACCGGTCACACACTGCGACCGGTCACGGACCGGATAAGCGTGCGATGCGTTGCATTAAATGCGGCGTGGCGCGCTCGTCCAACCAGCAATAAATGCGGTTAGGTGAGCCCCGCTGTGCTCACCTAACCCATACATGTGGCGCCAAAATCACAGGGGGTCGGGGCGCCCCAGCCCTCGGGGCCGAAACAGGGGCGGCCCGACCCCTCGGGGAGACAGAGGGAGGGGTGGCCATATCATCCTCGGGCCCGACCCCCCCGAGGGGGTCAGGCCACGTGGGTGACCGCGGCTACCCAAGCCTCTAGTCACGATACCCTCGGCCCCATGTCACCGACAATATATATATATATATATATATATATATATATATATATATATATATATATATATTTGAATGACATGCACGAAACAAGAAGGCATTCCTTTTATAGTTTACAATCATTTCTCTAGTAATATCTGCTATTTTTAGTTTATTCACCAGATTATTAAAATGGATTATATGCTCCACACTTTGAAAAATACATTTAAAAAAATTCCTAATGCATTGCTCAAACCACTTGCTTTAAGATATTAGTTAAGTATATTTCTTAAAATATTTAATTTGTTCCTGCAATCAAATCAATGATCCATTGAATAATCTAAATCTAAATCAAACAAAAGTAGTCATGCATCCCCACTACTATAAACGGCTTATATATGCTGCATATACATGCAGATGGCGCCACATTTCAAGAACCTTGCTGGTAAAGAGAAGGCCGAGGAGGAAGTGAAGGAGCCTGTTGATCCATCGACCTGGGTAGATAAAACCTCAGGCTACTACAGATACGACGGCTCCCTCACAACACCGCCTTGCACTGAAGGAGTGATCTGGACGATCATGAGCAAGGTATATGAAAACAATGGACTAGATGATTATGAGCTCATGTTCTTCGTTTCCTGTATGGCATTTCACCACAGGAACAGCAATGCATACTAGACTAAATATGTAAGCATTAGCTGAACTCTCTATGCTTAATTGTCTAACAGATAGGAGATGCATCGAAGGAGCAGATTGACTTGCTCAAGACAGTGGCTACGGTATGTACGTGCTGGAAGAGTGTGAATGGCTGAAACCATAAATAATTGCTCTACACTGTAAAATTCCTGACGTTTATTTGCTAATGCAGACTGTGGAACCAAATGCACGGCCAGCTCAGAAACTCAACGATCGAATTGTGAGGTACTTTGAAGTTTAATCTAAAGATGAATTAGGGTGTGTTTAGTTCCTGAAAAAAGTTGAAAGTTTGGGGAAAGTTGGAAGTTTGGAAAAAAAAAATTAGAAGTTTATGTGTGTAGGAAAGTTTTAGATGTGATGTGCTGTGATGAAAAGTTGAAAGTTTGGGGTAGTTGGTGGTGAACTAAACACGGTCTTAGGATTAAAGAGTGACTAAAGTGTGCATTTACTGGTAGACGATGCAACAGAACAGGTGAGCATTGTCTAATGTCTACAGTATACAGGGTGGCCGACAGAAAACGAGAAATCTAGATGATCACCAAAAATTACTGACAGATCGAACTTTGAAATTTCAATTTCAACATTGAACAGTTCTCATCTAATGACCAATTGTCTTGACTTTAGCATGGTTTGCAAAATCAGTTTCTGGATTCATATTGTTTTGGTGGTTTTGACCAGTTACAACCCGTAACCCAAGAAACACTATAAGATTGAACCAGCTGCTTGAAAAACATTTTGCATATTTACCTCACAAGTCACCCCAAAATAAAACTGCATCCCTAAAACCATTGCCATTCCAAGTTTTTTCACTGGGCCGGCTACTGAGAGCCAGCAAACCTTTTTATGAAGGAGCAAACGGTACAACAAGGTTGTTGCATCTACTACTGCCAAACCACTACAGCAAACAGCACTACAGCGCCTTGCATCAGAAGGGCGCACAGAGCTAGCGCCACCAGGACAGCGCCACAAGAAAACAGAGCACTACGCGCAGCATATGTTCCAAGTTTTTATCAGGTATCTTAGGACATCAAGAGGCAGTAGATAGACCATAATACCATACCAGATTGAGTACAGCCTTAAGCCATTCTGACCAGAACATACTAAATCCCAATGGCATATTAACCTCAAATGTTGCTTCAATTTAACTGCTCGGACACATCCAATGAATAACTACGATCATAACAATCTAACACTAAAGCTAAGGCATCCTCTGGAATGTACTACTAGCATGTTATAGTTTGCTACAGCGATGTTGACCTACAGAAGTACAAAATAGACATGCCAATGCCATCACAGAAATGTACGCTAAGAGAACAGAGATTAATAGCACAGTTTTCAAAATTCCAAGCACAACAATCAAAATTGTTCTACCAACAAGCTCCAGCATTTGAACTCAATCAGGTAAACAACATAATATAAGTTACTCGAGAAGGATTGACACACATCCTCTATTGAAGTGACGGTAAATTGAAAGAAAAAAACTAGTTCTTAACCAAATCAATTTGATGAAAGAATCACACGGCATCTTGTTTTATTCAACCCGGACTTTCTTGTTGTTCATGTATTTGAACTTACATATCTCCTCAAAGAAATCATCAGCGGCATCATGGCAATTCTTCATCTGCGAGATTCTGATGACCATAGAGCGCAGCCTCACGCTATACTTCACAAGCGACTCGAGGGTGTTCAGCTTCTGCTCAGCATTTAGTGGTGAGCGCACTGTGATCAAAACCTCTTCCAAGCAAGGGATGCAGAACCTTGCATCTAACTGCATTCACAATTCACAAATATTAGCCATCTATCAATACCTTACATAACAACCTAAAGTTCAATGCTATGCCGCGAAAGCCAAACCAAACACTCACATTCTTCAAGCTGTTTTTCTGGCACAGAGCAGCAAACATGGCACCATGAATATCAAACTTGCGGAGATTCGGGTGGCTGTTGAAGAAGTCGACCAAATCGACTTCCGGGAATGGCTGGAGCGCGTCAAAGTCGCCACTGAACTCAATTTTCATCACTAGGTGCTTCACATCCCTCGCACACTGCAGCACAGAGCTTACTGCAGCCCAGCTCCACTGGACACCGCGTAGAGAGAGGTGCTCCAGATCTGGGAGCTTCCCGGTGTCCACCTTGTACACCCTCCCTACATAATTTCGTCGCAAAGTACCACATCATGTCAACATAATCTAACTACCTCGCAACAACATGTCAGCGTGATTACTGATTAAGAATTCGCTCCCCGCATCATTTCATCGCAAAATAGCATATCACATCAACATAATCCTAACTACCTCGCAACAACATGTCAGCGCGATTAAGAATTCGCTCCCCGCATCATTTCATCGCAAAATAGCACATCACATCAATATAATCCTGACTAGTACTCTACCTCACAACAATATGTCAGCGTGATCAACAATTCGGGGCGGTGTGTTGCGTACCTGTGCTTTTGGCGATTGAGAGGCGGCGGAGGCTGTGACCACCGCGCAGAGTAATCCAGGTGAAGCCCTGGACCTCGAGTGACTCGACGCGGGGAGCGGCGAGCGAGAGGGAGCAGTTGCCGGCTCCGAGGAAGTCAAGCCGGCATCGCTCGAGCAGCGCGAGTTCGATGGACACCGCGCCCGAGCAGTCGCATCCAAGCAGCGACAGGTCGGTGAGGTTGGGGCACGCGGAGATGGCGTCCTTCACGGCGCTGTCCTCTAGCGGGGCGCCGACGATCTCCAGCACGCGGAGCTTGTCCAGCCGGCCCCACGCCGGCGCGGCCGTGAGCGAGACCCCCCAGAGCCTGAGCTCCTCCAGGCCCCTGGCCAGGCCAATGCAGTCCAGGTACCCGCCGTCCTCCGCCTTATCGGCGGCGGCGGCGTCCATCCGCAGCTCGAGCACCCTGAGCGAGGTGCTCCGCAGGGCCAGCCACTCGGGCAGGCGGGCCATGGAGAAGGGGCAGTAGATGACCAGCTCCCGGAGCCGCTCGACGGACCTCACCATCCGCCCGATGGCGTCGTCCGCGGCGCCCCCCGCCGCCGCGGCCGTGTCGAAGGCGTTCCTCGGGAAGAAGAGCGCCGGCAGGTACGGCACGCACTCGCGCCAGCGGCGGCACACGCAGGCGCACGCCGCCACGTCGCGGACGTTGCTGAGCATCGACAGGACGTGCTGCACGACGCCATCCGGCACGGCGTTCATGTCCGTACCGCCTCCGCCGCCGCCCTCCATGTGCTCGACGAAACGCCTCGCCGCTCGCGCCTACTCACAGTCACAGAAGAAGAGACATGGGGGATCGGGACGGCGATGGATTGGATTAGATAGATCGGGGGCACGGGGGGGTGTGGGGGCGCGTCGGGGAGGATTTGAAATTTGAAACGGCGGAGGTGGGTGGTGCGGCGGCGAGCAGCCCGCCCGCTCGGCAGCTCGTGGGGGAGGGAGGGGAAATTTTCGAAATTGCAGCGACCGTCCGCTCGGATTCGGGAGGTTCAAATACGAGTTTGAAACGGGAGCAAAGGGTTTGAGGGTTTACCCTTTTGGGGTTGGCGGCGGCGGCGGGCGGCTGTCGTGGGGAAATGGGCCGTGGGCTTGGACCGATTGTCAAGGCTTCGTGTCCTTCCTGACAATGTCTCTCCCATGGGTTTTTCCTCTGGTTGGTATTGTAGTGCTCAATTCCCATGGAGTACTTTGTACTTTATAGCGATGGCACATCAACGTAGTCTACCACCTAAACCTAAAGCACGGTTGCTGAAACAGTGAAAGGGGTTTGTGCTATTCATCGTCTGGTTTCTCGATCTCTCACCAGTTTTCCTCGTAATTGGATATAGCTCTCCAATAATGCTAGGGCGATCATCTGCGGCAACGGTAAAGTGATGGCTCGACATCGTTCTAGGTGGTAGATAATAGGGTATTGTTGATATAGCCACGAGCGAGTGAGCTAGATATGGTTACACCCAGGATAAAGGCGTGAGAACTATATTGTTAAAAACCGATGGTGAATATGGCGGCATGAAACGTATGGGAAGCTGAGAGGTGATTTTACACTAACAGATGGAACAAGTGCAGGTGGCGGGAGGTTGAAGAAACAAGTTGGACCGTCAGATTTCAATCCAACGATGAGTCGAATCTTCGTTGTTTGATCGATAGTGGGCCCCCTCGAGAAATATTTCTAGTTTCTACTTAGATGAATCGTTCCTTCTTTTGGGGTATGCGTTTAAAGAAGGGTATGCGTTTGTTTATAGATATAAAGATAACGTACAGTATACCCTATTTATCAGTGTAATAAGTCGGGAAAGACTATTATTAATTGTAGTAGTGATGCTGAAGTTAAAAAACATAAGGGAAACATTCCTAATTAATTCCACCCGTCATTAGTATCAATTAGGAAACTTTGATCAATTCCTAGGGAATTGGCATCATATTAATTGTTCCAAATACGTGGCTAGCATTACGAAGCCCCTTTCTCTCTCTTTTGTTCGTGGTTTGGCTCTTCCATATAGGTGCCAATACTATTTCTTTTTTCACTAATAGTAGTGTAATGGATATATATCTTGTGTGCTCCTATATTTTCATGAGGGTCAAATTATGTAAATTATCCTTTAAAATTGCACATATACTCATAGTTTTTTATTTGATGGTCCATTTTTATTTACCATAACACAAATTTAGTAAAAATTCAAAGTTTGCTAGCTCCGCCATGTAAGAAAATTTGTTTGTTATATTTTCTCCAAGGAAATTGGAAGTCCTGTCATTCCAAAATATAAGTATTTCTAGGTAAATAGCTAGAAATGCTCATATTTTATAATAGCGGGGGGGGGGGGGGGGGGGCGGGTATTTTCTTGGTCTACGATGCCAGATTTTTTTCCTAATGGGGTTCATGATTTGAATTTAAAAGGCATAGTTAGAAAAACAGTGATAAATTAACATACTAGTTCAAATATGATAATATATAAATAGATCTTTCGCTCTCTCGGACAACTAGACACTTTGTTATAATATAAATTGTATACATGCATATATTAGTAAGGGTATATACTTGGTTTTTTCTTTGGGGAGAGGGGAGGTGAAATCCTACAATAACATCTCAGACGTTCATTTTTAAATCATATGATAGTTTTTATAATTACATTATATATGTGTTTTGGACTATATTTTTTTCTATAAAATTAGGAGTTAGATGTTCAAATGAACTCGTAAAATTAGTTGATATCCATGCATGTTACTGGCACCTTCTTGTTGGGCTGATTTTGTGGCATAGTAGAAAATGTTGGGTGGTTGTGCACTAGTGGAAAGGAGAAAGAGCAATCAAGAGCCGTAGGATGGAATGGACGATGGATATAGAATAATTGCACACCACCCCAAAGTCAGATGATCCGGATCCGAGGTGGTATGGTACAGATGTACCCCCACCATGAACCAAGTTGCATTCGCCACCCTAAACATAGTTTTCTTTTTGTCAATTTATTTTATGATTTTAACATAATCATTCTAAACTCCAGTAAGTACTTGCTTGGTCACTTTTGACATAGAACATGAAATTTGGGCTAAAAACCTCCACTCTGAAAACTATATTTTATTTATTTCAAACATGTTTTTCCATCGTATATTATATTGAGTAATTTGTTATGAGGATAGCTGAAAAAAATTATTGCATTTTACCTAGTGGTGATCGATTGTATAGAAAATTAGTTTATTGTTGGCTAGAGATATTAATTTTATACTTTTAACTCAAAGTTTGTCTCTAATCTGCCTTCATCACTGGGTGTGGTACCACAATTAGACACAACCAACATAGAAATGAAAGAAAAGAAAAGATAATTGAGCATATGTGTAAAAAGTTATGTCTCTATTTCTTCTTGGAATTGCTCTCCTGCAACTATTTTGTTGAGTGCTATCCACGATGGATTGGACAATCATAGCGACAAGATAAAACCGCTAGTGATGGTGATGTTTTTCCAACCAATGGAACAAATTCCACCTGTGATAATTCTTCACGAATACTACTACAGTACTCCATGATGGTTGGTTTCTTCCGGAAGGACGACAGATTTTTGATGGCTCACCATTTCACCAACATAGTCTTCTTGAACTATCTACTCATCCATTTTTAGTTATTTTTATTTCTATAAAGGAGTACTTTTATCTAGGTGTGTACACAAGTGGTCATAGGAAGAGCATGCCATTAAACTGTCAATGATAATGACACCTAGAAACTGTTCCAGTGGAACGACTAATCGTGATGAAACAAACAATCAATCACTTATTATTTATAGGTAATTAGCTCTTCTAATTTTAATGTTGAAGGTTAGTTACTCACAAATACTTTACTTCGAAATAACACGATAAGTGTGATAACAAAATAAAATGTGATAACGACTTATCTGTATAAAAGATGAAAACAAACTAAGTAGTACTTCCTCCATTCCACATTATAAGTCGCTTTGTACAAAAAGTCAAAGCGACTTAAAATGTGGAACGGAGGAAGTAGCAGTTATGTCTAGATACATAGCAAAATGGACCTACCAAAAAGTCAAAGCGACTTATAACGTGGAAAGAATGGAGTAGCATGGAAGAGAGTATCTCTATGTTATTTGTAATGGTGGTCTCTTACAGCTCATTTGTTACGTGATTTTCGTTAGGGACATAAGTGGGCAATTTCATTGCCGGCAAAAAAAAAAATCCACTTACAAGTTTATTTTCAGATGATAGTACAAAATTTAAAAGAAAAAAAGTAAACTAGAATTGGGATAAGCGGGAAAAAAACTTGTTTACTCACCTAGCTTGCATCCTTATTTTTTACGGAATTGTTGAGCTTTCCTAAGTATTTTTTAGCTTCTATACATTGTATATATAGCTGCATAGTTTTCTCTTCCCTATGTTCTAAATATGCCCTTCATCCATGTTTATAATTAACAAAATTGGAGGCTTCATTTTTTCTTTGAAAATACCAAAAGGTACTTACACCTATGTCATAGTCGTATCATAGTAAATAACCATTATCTCTAGCACAAGTGCACAACTTAACTTGCTGTAAAGACAATCAATCACACATCCAAAATTTCCACATCATCACATACACTCCCTACCACACTCCAGCTAACTGATTGGACCAAGCAAACAAATCTAGGCCACCTAATGACACAGTCCCTGCATAATCCCACTAAAATCAGACATAACCAGGGAGCTACCCAACAGCAGGCCAACACACACACAGCAAAACACAAGGTCAGCTCACCAAAAAAGAAAAAAAAAACACAGCTGAATGCCCAGGTTCACCAACCGAAGCATCACATTTTTTGTACTACTCCATAACAAATTGACAAGTGACCTATCTATCCACATGTCCTCACATGCACGGGTTTGGTTGCGAAAGAGGTGGTGGGATTTCCCGTCGCAGTTGGTTTAGAAAAAAGGGCAGCGTGAGTGCGTGAGGAACGCCGATGCCCAAACGGACGGTACAATTACGAATATAAGAGCAAGTTTAATAGTACAACTAACTACTGGCTCCATATCATCTATAGTCAATTTAATAGTCAAGTCATATAATAGTACTAACATATAAACATATACTCCATCTGTTAATATATGGTCTCATCTATCATACATATATTTCATCTTGAAGCCTGTGCTGTAGCTGGCTATAAATCTGTAGCCCGCTGCTTATCTTTTTCTTCTTTTATCTTCTCGACATGTGTTTATAACTGGCATATGGTCTGCTATTTTACTGCTCAAGTTTTTTTTTCTGGAAGTATAAATATTTCCGCGTAGCACATGGGGTTAAGCGCGAAGTGAGAAAAAAAAAACAGAAATGTCAAAATCCCCCGCATTTTTGGCCGCGATCGCGAAGGGCGGCCACGTCAAACGCGAAAAAACAGAAGGCGAGTAAAACCAAAAAAACGCTAGCCGTGACGACGAGGACACCACCGCACTCAACCAACAGTCGGCGCACCAGCAGCTGAGGTTGGAGGAGGAGGAGGAGGCGCCGCCCCTCACCGCACCTCGCGCGGCGCGGGCGCAGGCGGTTGCGAGCGACGGCCTCAGCGGCGGCGGCGGCGGCGGCGGTGGTGGTGAGGAGGAGGAGGAGGAGGAGCGGGGAGAGTGTCGCGGTGTTGTCAGGGTGAGGGGAGTCAGATGCGCGCGGAATGGGGAAGCCCGTCGATGTGGAGCTCGGCGGCGCGGCAGGCCTCGAGATCGCCGGCGGCGGAGGGGGAGGAGGGGGAGGGGTGTGGGCCGTCGCCGGGGCGATCGGCCGCGCCGCGTCGTTCCGGTGCGTGTTCGTGCTCGCGCTCTCCGTGGGAGTCCTCGTCTCGGCGCTGCTGCTCCTCGTGCCCACCCGCGGGCACGGGTTCCTCTCCGACGACCCCGTCGTGCTCGGAGGTGAGCTCTTCCCGGTCAAATTTTGCTTCCGGTGGTGCGAGGGTATGGGGATTCGTGGGTTTAGGTCTAGTGAAGTGGTGGATCGATGATGGGATGGGGGAATTGCTGCTTGGGGATCTCATGCCGAGTGTTGACACTTCGATCCCGCCTTCATGGAGCTAGGATTTGCGTGTTTTAGTAGCGAATTTTGTAGTTTCCGGTGTTCCGGGTTTTGTGCGACGCCTGGTTCGTTCGCTGTTTTGCTATTCCAAGTTCCCAACTAGCGAAAATCGCATTCCCTCGTAATTAGTTATCAGAATCTTACGTGGTAATGCCTACAAATCTCTTGTATGATCTGGGTCATTAAATTGGATGGTCGATGTACTCTGGTGCGACATAGATGTCAGAGCAAAAGCTTGTATGGTAGTACTTGGTTTACCCACTCCTTATTCTGTGCACAACGTGTAATTGTCTATTGGACATTGGAGATTTCTAGTAGGTTTTCAAGCTTGCAGTGTGTGGTCAACCGAGATGTGCGATTTGCTCTTCTTCTTAGAGTACTAGTGACTGCGGCAATAACAGGAGTTGATTTATTGATTAACATGGCTGCTACATAATATGATGATGGTGCCTCAAGATAAAAGTACGCTAAGATTTGCTTCACTTTGGCAATAACTGTAAAAGCCGTTTGTTGACTATTTTGTTTGATGGGTACTTGGTCTTATGATGTGCAAACTATGAACTGTGAATGGAAGCTTGACAAGCATGGCATTTGCTTTGTTGTACCATTGAAATTACATAGATAGTTTTGTTTGATCACAATAGATCGAAGTATGAACTGTGAATGAAGGCTTGACAAATATGCCATTTTCTTTGTGCCTTTGTTTCACCATAGAAATTACATATATATTTTTGTTTGATCACAATAGATTAAGTCATTGAGTAGCTATCCTTGGAGCTGGCTATGACCTATGTACCGTTCCTGATAATATTTTAGAATATGAAATGCTTTAAGTAAGTAGATGTGTTGTTAATTTATTTCATATAATGCGCAAATTTATAGATAACCTAGTATTTGAGATTCCTAGTTACCCTATTGTTCGTGTACTATTCACAAAGTTGTGTTATAGGATTGACATTCCATACTCATTATGTGCTTATATAACAAGAAAGAAAGTCCATATGTTCCATTTGATTATATCTTCTCTTATGTAGTGAGTGTAGATAAGCTGCTGTGGAAATTTTTTTTTAAGCATAGGATGTTTTTTAGGACTGGATGGAAATTGCTTTATATTAATGTTTCAGGCTTTGGATATATGGAACTTTTTACATTTACATTCTCGAATTCATCGTACATGTCATAAATTTCAAGCTCATATATGGAAATCCATGCTGCCTGCCTCAGGTGGAAACTTTTAGATCCCTAAATTTGAGGTTTCTAAGGAAAAACTCAGCCTCCACCCAACCAAATTTGTAGTTTCATATGATGATAACTAATTATATCCAGAACCTTTATAATCAACTTTAGTCGTTGCATATAGTAATGTTCCTCTTATAATCCTTGCATCACTTTTTCCATCATTGCATTTTCTACTTCTCATTGATACCAATTTTCTTTACACCCTATATTGTTGAATGAAAATGCTATGCCATCTTTTTGTTTACTCATTTGCATCCTTAACTAGTATTGTTTAGCTATATTGCATTTGTTGGCAGTTGGCGCAGTCCTTCATTACTTTCTCATCCGTGGAAGTGCCTCAGTGATTCTTCTCAAGTATCTCGTTATTTCACATGCCATTTTCATTTTATATGGTATACTGTATTAATAATTGATTTGGCAATGATTTTAGAGTATTCCAGAAATCGTCTTGTTTTTTTGGCACAGCTATTGTTTGTATTTTTTTTTTATGTCACAGTGTTAAATTTAGATGATGTCTCTTGCCTTATAATGTATTTGAGGACTGATAGTGTTTTCAATTTTCATTTATTCAGCTGAAATCCAGGTTGGTTTTACCTTGGAAAAGCCAGTTTCATTCCTTGCTGCTCACATGGATAAACTAGGGGGTGACATATTTGAAGAAATTGGTATTCCTAATAGCAAGGTGCCTGATGCCTGTTTCTTTTTTACTAATTTTGTTTCCTCTGCATATACCATTTGTTAATTTAAAGGTTCATAATTTTCACTCTGGTCCACTTGTGAACCTAGGAGTGAAAATTAGACCCCCCCAGGGAGACCTGAGGACCTAAAATGGACTTCTCTTATTGTTTGAAACAGGTTTCCATTGTGTCAATGCGTTCTTTGACCTCTAAGTACTCCACAAATGTGGTTTTTAGTGTTCTTCCTTCTCCAAAAGAAGCCTCAATAAGTTTGCCTGCCCTAAGTGTGCTGAGATCATCCTTAATAGCGATGATGCTAAATCAGGTGAACCTATCGTTGACAGAACCACTTTTTGGCCATCCATCTTCCGTTGAGCTGTTGAGGTTCCCTGGAGGAATTACAGTAATTCCTGAGCAGTCTGGTTCTGTATGGGCGGATCCTCTTTTCAACTTTGTGTTGAACAATTCCATTTATCAGATCTTGGGTAATATTACAGAGCTAAAGGACCAGTTGAAGCTTGGATTGAACTTGAGGTCCTACGAGGTATTGTTGATTTAATTTCCTCCTGATTGGTTACAAATTTGTATGTGTTTGTGTTTAAAATTTACACCCTCTGTCATATATGTGCAGAAAGTATATTTGCAGTTCAGGAATGAGATTGGATCTTCAGTTGATGCCCCGGCAACTATTGAGGCATCTGTTCTAGATGGGAGCAGCATTCTTTTACCATATAGATTGAAACAACTAGCTCAGCTAATCAAAGAACCCAATGCAAGGAACCTTGGGCTTAATCACTCTGTATTTGGTAAAGTAAAAGGTGTTCAACTGTCATCATACCTACAGCATTCGATCTCAGATTTATCTCCGAGTCCATCTCCTTCACCATCTCCATCCCCATCCCCATCTCCATCTCCATCTCCATTCCCTTCTTCAAGTGTACCACCATCTTTCTCACCATCTGGGAGCATCCATTACCCTGCACCTCCAACATATATGAACCCAAGTCTTCCTCCTCAAGCTTCACCCCCTTTGCCTGACACAAATCCTTGCTTTCCATGTTTCAATTGTGACCGCTTTTCTTCCGCTGGTAGCCCAACAGGCAAACCACCTTGTTTTCGCAGAGACCCTAAGCTACCTCCATTTATACACTCCCCGCAGCCATCTGTTGCTCCTTCCCCATATCTTTCTCCAGCTTTTCCACCAATTCCTGGTCATGTAGATCCTCCCAATCATTTACCTGGTGCAGTCCCTGGACCAACTTATCAAATGATGTCAATACCTTCACCCTCATTGCCTGTGTTTCGACCTTCAATGGCTCCATGGAAGAAGCGACGAAAAACCAAGTCCCCCCCTTCAATTGCCCCTTCCCCATATTGTAAGTACCCTATTCTATGAAGTGTTTACTTTATTATTTGCTTCAATATTTCATGATTAAGACTTTTGAATGGTTGGTTTGATATGGTAACTCCTGAATAAGATTTAGCATTGATCGACTTGACTACACTAACCCAATAATGAACTGCACTGTTTGATTTCCATGGCAACTACCAACTTAGTAATAATAATAAATTTACATTACACTTTGTTAGTTTGGCATTATATTCCTGAAGTGATAGAGTGAGATATTTTTTTCGCTTCATCTAGAATTTTACAATGAATCAGGTAGGTGTACTAGTGGTGTGGTACTAACCTGTGAATCAATATGCTGTTAGGTGAATTAGGTGAACCGGGCATTTTGATTTCTTTGTATATTAACGTCATGCCATCCTAATAATTTAATTCAACCTTTTAAAATACTTACAAAAGGTACCAGTTTATGTACGTTTTCTTTATATATCTGTGCCGCTTTGCTCTTTTTTTTAGTTCGCTATTCTTCAGCAGTTCATTGAACATAAATATTTCATTTGACATCCATTGTCAAAATTTGCAGCTCTCCATTCCTGAAGTGAGACTTGGCTGGTGCCCTGGACTGTTTGCCTACAGAGTTACCAGTGCACAAGGTGGTTGTGGTTGCAAAGTTTGCTTCTTGAAATCTCCTGAAGCATGGAGTTGCAATCGTGAGCGATCGTACTGCAAAGGCAGGTTTATGAATGCAATCATGAGCAATCATACTGCAAAAAGGCAGGTTTTGCTTATCGGTTACTTCTAACTGTATGGTGGTTTCTCGCACTTCAGAGTTGGAGTATAACTGTAGATATAGGTCTGTATTATGCTAATTTACCAGGGTTTTTATGTCACGAAGGTGACTGCCCTACGCCTCTACCAAATATCAAGTTTCTCACCGAAGGGTTGGGTGCTTATGGTAGAGGAGAATGTAATGACTTACCATAGTCGAATTGATGTTGTATCTTGCGATACGACTGTTCGTTTCCTGTAACATCATCATATACTGAGCATAATACGATACATTTACACCCGTCTTTCTGCGACATTTGTCGTTTGTCCATTTGTTGTGCTGATAGCCTGCGGAAACAAGTCAAAGGCCATCCCGTAAACAAGTTCTGAAATTTAGCTGGTGCTAAATATGTGCTGCCTGAACAGATTGTTGTTTGTCGTGAGTCATTACGTCTTGTGACATCTTGGGCACAAAATCAGAAGAAAAGAGTAGTGATAACAATCATCAATATCCAAAGCAGATACTTACACCATCTCACCCCAAAAATAAATAGATTGATACACTTGAGCCTATAGTTAGCTGTATCAAATATGGATTCATGTACACCGTGCCAGTTGGGCTCCAGAAATATGGATTCATGTACACCGTGCCAGTTGGGCTCCAGTAACACTGATAAGCATGTTAAATACAATTGCTGTGGTGACTATTTGAGTATTGATTAGCTATAATCTGTCACAGTAGACAATTGCAACTTATATCCAAAAATAATGACTCAGGTGAACTCAAATGTCGCCCTTGCGTAAGATTTGGAGCTGGAGTTTCCCTGGAAATAGCTTTCCAAAGTCCAAACTAGGCGTCCACTCCATCACCTTGGCAGAATGGCAGTGTCAAACCCCACCTCTCTTCAGTCTTCAATTTCTGTGTCCCACACAAGTTAGGAATCCGTTTTAAATACAAAATTCTACCTCAACCATTTCCCGTTGCTTAGTTGGAGAATAGGGGCATTGTCTTTGAACACCGCTCTTCCGTCCTTTGACACATATTGATATTGCCAAGCTGGACCGAGGAACCATGCCATAGCCATGCCTCCGAGCAAGCCTCCCAACTGCCATTATTCAAGTGTCAAGTGAGGTCATTACGTAAATATTTCATACATTGAACTAAGATTAGGAGGCTTACATGGCCCCAGTTATCAATGCCCCTTGTAAGGAGACCCATACCCTATTTACACAGCAAAGTTTAAGCAATTTGTTAAAGATGATAACCACAAAAGAAGTGCTAAAATGAAAACGATAGAAAGCTGGTAACAAGAACAAAGTCAGGTAGATAAGTAGAACAATACCATATTCAAGATAACAACGCGTCCAATATGCTCTAAACTTTCCTTTCCATGCCCCAAAAATCTCCTATGCCTCCACGTATAAACAGCATAGGCACCAACCTGGACATGTGCAGATAAAGTTCATGCAAATGGTGTGACATAAGAAACCATACCAGGGATTTCTTGAAACTAGTTTTAAACTCTTATGGTCCTTTGGGTTGCCAACAATATGATTAGACTTATTTCTATGACTGAAATCAAAAGCTAAGGGTAACCATACCAATCCAAAAATGGCCCCTGACGCACCAACCGCAGGAGACGCACAATAGCGATAACTCATTAATGAACCTGGCAAAATTTGAAGAATTCATTATGACAAAACTAAAGGAAGACAGGCAATGTTCACCTATCACCACCATATATATGTTCTCAAACATAGGTAATAACAAAATACCTGCCAGAGCCGAAGTGAAATACACGGCAAGATATCTTCTAGGACCAGTAAGCATTTCCACCATAGGTCCAATTGAATTTAAAGAAAAACAGTTGAACTGCATCATTATTATGATCAGAAGGAAAATTAGCAATGTTATTTCTTAGATTATAAACACAAACTGACACAAATACATACAGCAAGATGAGCAAGATTTGCATGAAGAAGAGATGATGTAGCCAGACGCCAGAGTTCTCCTCTATCAATCATACTGTTGATCTAAAATCATGGTTTGTAATTGAGTTAGACTAAAAGTTATCAGAATAAAATGAAATGAAAATTAAAACCAACAGACCAACCTTAGCCCCCCATATAAGTAATCGTCCTTGTGTAGTTATCTGAGCGACATAAGCCCTTCGGTGAAAGTAGAACAATGTTAATCCACAAATGTAGAAGGAAGCTTACTATCAACAAAGGAGGAACCAATAACATGAATTGAGCAATGACTTACAGAATATTAACAGCAAGAAGAATATTAGTCCAAAGCCTCTTCTTCGAATTGATTCCACTTGGCCTTCTGGATGGCAACTTCCCCCTACCGATGTACCTCCTGTCCGATCCATTTCCATTGAACAAAACAGAGCTGCAAGCATATGGTGCGGAGAGCGCATTCTCCAACACTCCAAGAATCGAGTGTGTGGCGAATGAGTCTGATCCTTCAAACCAAATGTCACCTATTCTCGGCAAGGCACCAAGATGTCGCGCCTCCTACACATCGTGCAATTCAGTTCAGAATAAATTGTGTGATTAAGCACGCAATTTATCGATCCATTTAATAAACGGAAGTAGTGGAAATGCTCTACGGTAACAAACCACTAACACATCATGATAATATCACAGCTAATAAAACTAGCATATCACCAAGAGTCTGAAATCGGTTAATAGCTGCGGATGGGCTGGATATCGCAACGGTGGAAACCCAAGAGTCTACATCCCAAAATCGGAGTGAAACAGCGGGCAGGGGTAAGAAGCAGCACCGGCGAGCGGAGGAGGCCGGCGAGGCGACGGCGGAGGGCGCGGCCGAGTTGGGCGCCGGCGAACGCCGCGACGACGTTCGGCTTCCAGTCGCCGGGGTCCCCGCCGCCGCCTCCTCCGCCGCCGCGGCCGGAGGAGGAGCCGGGAGGGGGCGGGGGAGGCCAGGGGAAGGAGGGGAGCAGCAGCCACGGCGGCGACGACGACGCCATGGGCCCCACCGCCTGCGATGCGACGTGGACCCCCGTGGACGGGACGCCGGCCTTTTGACCTCTCGTCTTCGCCTCGCTTTGCTTGGGGAGGCGGCATCGGACCCGTCGTCCCGTACACGGGCCTTCATTCTTTCAGATGGCCGACGCACTGGGCTTGGGCGGTTCTTCATTGGAATAAGTTCACTCTAGATCCCTCAATTTGTCACCGAGTTCGAAATACATCCCTAGACTGCAAAACCGGATACCACTCATCCCTCAACTTATAAAACCATGCAAACAACGTCCCTCGGTAGTATTGTCCCCGGTTTTGGCTGATGTGGCGCCTACATGGATCTTTTAACTAGGTCTTCATCTCATGTGACATTGATGTGGTGCTCACGTGGCAGTTTGATCTGGAAAAAAAATTGAAAACTAAAAGATTAAACAAATATGCGGGACCCAAATGTCAGTTAAACAAAGAAAATAAAAATAGTGAGACACATGTCATTGGGTCCCACTTTCCTCCATCTCACCCTGAGATCTCTCTAACGAAGGGATGAGATGGGGAGGCTGAGGCCGTCGGCCTCTCCGCTCCCCTTACCGACCACCGCACACCGCTCATCTCTACCTCCGACCGTCGCGCGCCATTCTTCTATCCCGCCGACCGCCGCGAGCCAATCCTCTCTCCCTCCGACCGCCGCGCGCCGCTCCTCTCTCCCTGCCGCGCTGCGCGACGTTCTTCTCTCGCCTGCCGGCTGCCGCGAGCCACTTCTCTCCCCGTCGTGCCGCGCACCGTTCTTGTATCCCGCCAGTCGCCATGAGCCGCTCCTCTCTACCGCTGGCCACCGTGAGCCGCTCATCTCTCCCCGCCGGCCGCCGTGAGCCGCTCCTCTCTCCTCGCCACGCCGCCTTGAGCTGCTCCTCTCTCCTGCCGGCCGCTGCGAACCGCTCATCTCTCCCCGCTGCGCCGCGCGCCGTTCTTCTCTCCCCCGCCGGCCGCCACGAGCCACTCCTCTCTCCCTCCGGCCACCGTGACCGCAAGTCGCTCCTCTCACCGCTTCTCTATCGCCCGCGTGTCACGTGTCGTTCCTGTCTCTCCCACTGGCCAATGCGTGCCATTCCTCTCTCCCGCCGTGCGTTGCTCCTTTCCCTCACCGGTAACATGCACCGCTCCTCTCTCCTGCCGACTGTCGCACACCGCTCCACTCTCCCCTCCACGCCGCACACTGTTCTTCTATCCCGCCGGTCGCCGCTCCTTTCTCCCTCCGGCCGCCACGCGGTTTTCGTCTCTCTCCCGCCGACCGTTGCGCGTCGCTCCTCTCCCTTGTCAATCGCTGCTCCTCTCTCCCACCGGTCACCGCGCGCCACTCCTCTCCTCTCCACTCGCAACTTTTGGCACCCTCCCTGTAGCCCGTCATCGGCCTCCTCACCGCCGGTCACTTGGTGAGATTGGAAAAAGGAGGAAGAGATGTCACGCCCCGAACTAGCCCCGAACGGAACTAGCCCGTGACGCTCCAAATTAACCTGTTAATCGATACCAGTCCCAGGAAACAGTGCTGGTATCACAAGAAGATAGAATATCACAGCAACAGAGGTCTCTTTATTATAGAGTAGGAGTACAGTCATGTTGGGCTGCGGACAGATCCCCAGCTCACAACTGCATTACAAAAGGGAAAGCAGAAGCCAAGACTTGGACCAATCATCACAGGCGCGACTTGGGAACTAGGCCGAAATCCTAAAACTCATCGTAGCCGACTTGCTTCTGGAAGAACTCCTCGTCGGCGGGATCCACATCATCTTCTTCAGCAAGTGGGGGGGGATTATTTATATAGAGCAAGGGTGAGTACAGGAGTACTCAGCAAGCCATGGGAATTAAGTGTTTAATGCAGGCTTCAAAGGAAAGGCTATTGTTTTTGCAATTGATTTTATTTAAACTCCTTTTTGAAACAACTAAGTGAGTGCTTCTCAAACGACACGGATGAGACAGTGTGTCTCGTCCGGTCGGAGTATGTGCAATGTATCAGTCTTTAAATTGATGCAAGGTTGGCACCCGGCCAACAGCTTTCAAACGGCCACCCGGGCCTAGCTGATCCCATCAGCTGCAGATTTTCCCAACATCGATCCCATTCCACAACAGAAATTTCACAAAGCAGTAGTCAAACAAAACTACGCTAAGGAATCACCTTACATCCGCCCATGACCGTGGGCACGGCTGTTCGAACAGTTTAATAACCTCTGCAGAGGGGGCACACTTTACCCACACGACATTACTAATCCGGATCACCCAGTCCGTGCAGAACAGCCATGTCTGGTGACCTTGAGGCTTTCATGACAAGGCATTTCGAGAGCCGACACAGGTTTACCATATGTCGACGAGAGGGGTCCCAGACCAACAACAGGTTAGGTCCCAGACCATACTGTGCCAGGAAGCCCAGGGGTCCTCCCCGACACCACCCTGGCGAATCCACTTGTCTCCCGGCATCAAGGCTCCCTTGATTAGCTAATTACTCAGCCAGGGGTGTCCCATTCCACCCATGCGGTCGTACTTGTTATATGTTCGGATGAAATTCCAAGGAATCAGTCCTTAAGTGCAAGAACAGGAAACCATGCTCCTGGCACGTCCCCTGGTCTGCGATTTTGGAAATTCTTTTAGTTCGCAAGCACCGACCCAGGTGTCGGGTTTTTCTAAGTCTTTTGTAAAACCCCAAGTTTTATCCATCGTTGGTGACGGAGCGTGGGGCTCCTCACCGGGAGACCGCGCAGGCCCCCCTTTGCCGGTTCGGCCGGGGGCCCTGGGTGAAATTCTAAGCTCCTAGTCTGTGGAAAGTTCGCGAGAGTGGAAGAAGCACAAGACACGGGCGATGTATACAGGTTCGGGCCGCTGAGAAGCGTAATACCCTACTCCTGTGTTCTGGTGGATCTGTGTATGAAGAAGCTACAAAGAGCTGGAGAGTCAGAGAGCTTTTACTCTAGAAACTCTCTCCTCTGGTTCCCAATCCAGCCTCGATCGTTCTGGATCCCCTCTCTAAGTGGGCAAGGTCCTCCTTTTATACCTCAAGGGGATACCACATGCACCATCTCTCTTTTGTGTGGGGACTTATCCTCTCTTTTCTCCAACTTGACTTGCCTTCTCTTCATAAATGGACGGAGATTTGTATGGTTGCCGTCCGAATGACCTTCTGATGGGACGGCCCACACCTACCTCCACTTCCGCCGGAAGCAGGCGCGACGTGGGAACATGGCTGTCTGCTGACGACATGACCAGTGTCAGACCGGTCACAAATCGGTCATTCTTGTCCACCACGTGTCAGTTTAGCAATCTGCATGTTCGCCCTTCTTCATACAATATCTTGCTTGTAATGGTTAGGATGAAGCCTGGCATATATCTGACCGGGACCAACGTGCCATCTCCAGGAGGTAACACGCCGGCTTCGGCTAGGGACGAGTGCTTGGAGGCTCTCATCCTGACGGGATGGGGCGAGGCGTGTGTCAGACCGCCTGTCGCCACCTAACCCACGATCTGATCGGTCTGTGACTGGTCACAGACCGGATAAACGAGCGCGCTGCACTGCGTTACATGCGGCGTGACGCGCTCGTCCAAACCGCAATAAATGCGGTTAGGTGAGCCCTGCTGCGCTCACCTAACCCATATACGCGGCGCAAAACCTACAAGGGGTCGGGGCGTGTCACGCCCAGAAATTCCCGAATAGAATTCCAAGCAGAATGTGTATTAAAACCCCCGTCCAGGACCAGCCGGGGTACACAAACGACAATGTTGACATACAGATCCACGTCTTACAAACATTATAAAAGTCTTACAGAAATGCAGCGGAAAACAAAAGAAACTGGAGCTAAGCCTTGACTTGAACGGCAGCGGGAACACCACTCCACAGGCATCCTCGACGGCACGGACGAAGCCTACTCCTCGGAGAACCCGCCATCGGACACATACTCGAGCTCTGAGGTTGGGGGGAAAAGTAGAGCAAGACTGAGTACTACCCACTGTACTCAGCAAGTCATACCGGAATAGGGGTATGATGCATGGATTTAACAAGGGATAGCTAAGCAGGTTCATTTGCATAAATACTGGCATTTATAAACAGGAATTTAATGCAAAAACAGTTGTAAAAAATTAAACAGTATTAAACATCCGCTGTCCAACGCTAACCCACGTTGCGACAGGCCCAACCATCCACCTAAACTATCCAAGTTCAACAGATTACACTAGGGTGAGACTAATCACGGTGAATCTGGTTGACCGCCCATAACCGCGGGCACGGCTATTCGAATAGTTTTACTCTGATCAGAGGTGTACAACTGTACCCACAAGACACAGCCCCACGACACGTTTCCGTGCGCCGACATGTCACCACGACATACCGGAAAGAGGCCGTGACAGGACCCTTCGCATAACCCCCTCTAACCAAGCACACCACACCTCAGGTTTCACCCCCACTCCTCGCAAGGCAGCGGGCAGTCCCCTCTCGTGCCTAGGTGAATCCGGAAGCCGCATAGACCGTCGCAGGGCCCATCCAAACTCCATCACGCCCACCCTTGCCTGGATGCGTCGGCTAGAGGAAAGCTACACTATAAGCCCAGCCGTTGCCCACGCTGGCTTGTGGTAAGTACGATAAATTCTTCCAGGGCATCCCGCGAACCGGTCCTTAACTGCCATGGGTGCGACTAGCAAAACCGTGCACCCACAGCCCACCATGTGGTTCATTTTATTTAACCAACACCAGAGCGGTGGTATTAAACCAACATTATCATATAAACCTATAGTCTAGGTTTTAAATGAGATCCCCAATGTGTGCTAGTTGAACTAAGCATGGCTAAGCAAGTCCTAGTCCAAAGTCTAATCATGTTATAACCCAAGCTAACAAAGGAGCATGATATCCAAAAGCATGGCTGTAACAGTAGGTATCCATCCCATAGTGATATTATAAAACAATGCAATATTTGAAAGAAAACAATGGAGCATTTGCAATATAGGATCAACATGTTCAAGTGACAAGCATGACTTGCCTTGCTCTGCTGCTGGAGGTACCTCGGCGACTATTTCGAAGTACACCGGAGCGTCGAAAGAACCGGAATCTAGCGACATACAAAGCAAACATTGCAAA